TTAGATTCCGTTGCATCTTCAGGCAAAATGGAGTTAAGTGTGCGGATATAGCGCTTTAGAAAGAAAATGGCGCAAAGTGCAAGTTAGTCGGTGAAATGTAAAGGCATGCGCTGAAGATCATTTCCAGCTCAACGAAAATATCTTAGTCACGTGAGGCGCTTCAATTTTAACAGTAGTAAGGGCCCCTAATCTATTTTTTTCTCAGTGCAAAGAAAGAAAGCTAAATATGTATATTTCAACACAGCATACGGTGGGATGCTTACAAAAAAGCGATTGTAAAACGAGTAATACCAAATGACTGCAGAAAAAGAATCCAAAAAACCAAAATGAAAAATAACTAAAGAATCCATTACTTTTGTCCAATTATTTCGTTAAAAAATGTAATTAAATTTAGAGAAAACTAAAAAGTGTTTTTATTTTCTCGGTAGGGATCGCAAATACAACTAAATTACAAAAAATTGTAAATAAAACCGAAAACTCATTTTGTCTGTTTCTACCCCCCCAACAAGGTTAAGGGGAAGAACCGCGGACTTGACCTAAAAAATATGTCGGATTATGTAAGCCCTAAAAACGTAAACAATGCTATTATTTCGATCTAAATTCTTGAAAATTTAATAAAAAGTTTAAGCAAGCAAATTAAAAAAAAAAACACTTGGTGTATTTTTTATTTCGATTCGAAGTTCAATTTAAAAAGAAAAATAATCCTAACATAAAAGAGAAAGCGGCAGTTATAGCAGCGCCATAAATGCTAAATAGAAAAATAACATCACAACGGCCTAATTTCCGACAATCCCCTGTAGGACAATGGCAAATTGTTTTGGTTATTCGGTTCCCTGTCCATTACGTTATTTGACTGGATAACCCTGGTCGGTTTTCAATTTAGAATTCCTTCGGGATCTCGTGGAGGGTGTTTTATTGATTTAGTTCTTTGTGCTCGAAGGGAGAGAAGCGGTCTAATTCATAAAAAAAGGAACACAACACACTACGGCTGGGATAAATTTCGTATTTTCTTTTGAAATTTGTATTGGCGTAGCCGCTCCCTGGCGCAAAATTATATCGAAGCTGTTGTCCAATTAAACTTTAAAATTCACGCCACATCACGAGAAAGTCCACATTATGCGTCTAAAACATAAATAGTGGAAAATTACATAATTGATTTTAGTTTCCGGCTAAACTATCAGTTCATTTAAAATTGAAATCAGAATGCCAGTTAAACGTAAAAATTATTAATATCATATAAACTACAATTATACAAAGCATAGCGAACACATACATCAATGTCGCATAAAATTATCTTGGTCGAGAGTGACCACCTTCATTAAACTTTAACCTTCCACGCTAAACTCTAATTGTGGTTTTCCAGTTCTGGTAGGTGCAGCCGCTCAGTTCTTTTTGCTTTGACTAACGTCGAACGTTCAAAAGTAAAATACTTTTTTGATTGCCTTTTCGTTATTGATCCAGTTAAACCAGTTTTGGGACGATGAATAAAGTCTGTTCATCTTCATCAGACATAATGATAGTGCCAAAAATGCCAAACTTTCTTGGAAGGCCGGTCGACGAGCATTAAAGTACTACCGAGAAGGGGAAGAAGAGGTAGGTAATAGTCGTACACGTTGGAGCGGAAGATGGATTTCTAAAATAAATAAACCCTCATTGAAATTTCAGTTCTCTCGAACGTGAGGTTATCATGAGTTTGCTTTGGAGAAACGGTAAAATATCGATCCCATGATAGCAAAAACATTGACTTCGTCACACTCACACTCATCTACAGGTTTTATTATCAAAAATAGTAAATGCAGAAGTCGTAGCCTTTATTTTGATATTTTAGTTTTCAAATTTAGAAGAAAATTCAGACAGTTCCGAATCAACATTGTAATATAAGGTTTATTACACTGCAGCAACGTTTTACCTAAAACATTGTTACAAAATATGACCTTAAAAGTTAGTAGGACATCATCACACTAGAATTAGCGCTTTTAAGTTAAGATAAGATAAATTACAAAATTGGCTACCAAACTTCAATTTTGCACTTTAACACCCACAAATTGTTTGGAAAGGGCGATTGCTTGTTGAGTTTTCTCAAATAATTTGTATTTACTTCGATTGCACTTAATCGCGGTAAATTCGACCGGTTATATAAAAAGTGTTTAGAAAAGCTACATAAAACCATATCATATTTCTGGCATATAACATTTTTTGCTAACTCAAACGCTCGCGATAAAAGAAGGGAATATTTGCTGAGATAAGATTAGTTGATAAGGGTGGCCACTGGAATCGAAAGACATGACTTTGCTTTCCTAAATTTAAATTTGATGTTACTACAAAGTCACGATAAAATTTTTGTATTAGCTTTACAGGAATAATATAGCTTTAAAGAATAAGAATAAATATTAAAAATGAAATTTAAAATGAATTGTTTGGGACCCTTTCTGTATTGGAGAGGCACGAATCTGTTTTAGTTTCTTTCATTTATTCCCATTAAATTTAGTTACTTCAAATCCACGCACTGCTATTCTGTTTAGTGGTATGGCAGTGACAGATTTTTGTTGTTTTTTTTTGCTTCATATTTTAAATAATATTACTGTTTTTTTTCTCTCTGATCTTGCTTTATTTCAATTAACTTTTACTTATTTAACAATTTTCTGTCATTGTTAATTTTTGGTTATTTGTAAATAAAGTTGTTATTATTATTAGAAATAATTTAAAATTTTAGTTAATTAAACTAAAGTAAAGCACAGGATAATTATTAATTTTAGTATATATGAATATATTCATATAAAAATTAATTGCAACTATCTAATCTAAGAAGCAAGACATCTTTCAATAAATTTTCTTTTAAATTCGTCCTTTGACAATTTACAATATATTTCATTGCTGAAAATGCTCATTCAATACTCACTTATGTAATAGGTAAACCAACAATTTGTTTTGCAACGTTTTACAATTCATTTGATGACGTTTCTTTTGCTGGCCAATATTTTAAGGCGAACGTATCTCGCTTTTCACTTGCATGCTGCGAGATATTGAAGAAATATTTTTTTTTTGTTTTAAAAATTGCTCTATTTGATCTTCTTCTGTTGAAGTTGACTCTAGAGATGACTCTTCCACGAAGTTGTTAGCTTCATTTATATTTTGATCTTGATTAAATAGTGCTTTTCCCCTTTCGTTTAGGGATTCTACTATATTTGTTCAAAACCGGTTACAAATTTTACTTGTTTCCATTTTACAATTCAGCCAGGCAGAATGAACATCTCCAGTCAATAAATGTTTTCAATAATTTTGCTGTTTTTTTCGCATGATTTAAAACGTTACAGATGTCTTGTATATCTGACCAATCATTTTCGCTTAAATGTAGCTCTTCAATGCTTCCGGCCATGTATCTACAAAAGTCTTTCAATAATAAGAGTCGTTCCAACATATCATGGGTGCTGTACCATCGTGTCGCACCATCTGTAATAGATTTCTTAAGTTTCATTGTTATAATTACAGTTACAACATTTATTGTTCTGAGTCTCTTAGTCACCTTTCTAGCTATACTTATTATCGCTAGAATATCCTTTTAACTTTAACACATCATCCACGTCAAGCTGCAAAGGGGCTACAGCCGGAATTTGTAGCAATGACGCCTATGGAAGCATCTAGTAATAAATGCATCACTTCCATTTTCTTGTTCTTCATTTTCTCGAATTTCATTTTCTTGTTTACTTTCTTTTTCGTCACTAATAATATCCCGTTGCTGGTATTCTAACAAACTCACCGCTTTGAGCATATTTGCCCAATCGTCTGTTGTTATACTGAGTACTTGCTTCAGATCAACTTGATATTCTTTTAATACAGCCAATATTATTTTTGAAATGTATGAGGAAGCATGTCTTTCCTTCAAATCCCGCATCGCCAAGGTCCTTAAAACTAGACAGTTATTATTGCCAATAAATTGACCGTTGATTCCTAATATACTTCTATCAAGTCTACTTGCTCCATCAACTTTGAAAGATAATAATAACTTCCCCATTAATTCTGTCGTTTTTAACTTTTAAACTCAAAGCATTTAACGACACGGCCGTTAACTTCCTTCAACAAATCAGGAGTAATGTGAACTGAAATATTGCTTTTTTGTTTTATAACGACATCATCTAAGGTAGGTTCGATATTTAGTCGCCTTTTTTTATTTAAATAAATTTAAATAAGACATTTTCGAAACGGATTCATTTTATATCTTCCCATTCTAAAAAGGCTTAAAAATATTTTTATGAGTTTAAATTATATTATTGTTTTAAAATGTTACCTTTATATATGTATAATAACAACTTAACAAGATTAAGACACACAAACGGAATTACAATACAGACTGATACCGCCAAATTAATGTAACGAACTTGTGTAAGAAAATATTGAATTATCCCTGCATGTGCGAGCGATCACTTCACCTTCGGTTCTCCTACTTTATAGCGAAGCACTAGTGATGAGCGAGTAGATGTTCGCGAATCTTCGGTAAAGTAGTGGGAAATAGAAATGGGAGCTTCCAGGGCCGACGTGGATAGAAGACCCTTGTATCCCCGATATATCTACTAGGGGTAGGTTAAAAAATAAACCGGTTACAACCGGTAACCGAAATTATTAATTTCGTTTTCAATCATGAACGTAAAATAAAAATTACGTTTTCGTTTCCGCTTTCGTTTTATGAATTATTCGGCCAATTTCATTTTTTCGTTCTCGTTTTCGTTCCGTTCTGAGTCCCTGGTTTTAACTTAATTTTTCCTTCTTTTGCTCTTTGTAAAGTTCGAGGTAACACATACGGGTATCATTTATATTATTCGAATTACATTTTATCATTCAAGTTTGATCCTGAAAACTTGAAACGCGTTCTACAGCTTTTATCGGCGTTATACCCAACCGAAATGTCGCCAAATTACAAAGCAATAAAGTTCACTTTTTTTCCATACAAAATCGGCCACTGCCAAGGTCCGACCCTACGTTAAAAGTTTCTTTAGTAAATTTACCTCATGTAATCCTGTTTGCACAGTATCATGCCGCCCCTAGTGAAACACGACGTGCCGATATCGGCCAGCATCGCCCCGCAACATGTACACTTGAGGCATCCGTTGTGCCAGTACCGGTCCAACGCGTGCAAAAGAAAACGTTCGACGATCTTGCCGCCGCAACCCGCACATATTTTCACCGTGCCATTGTTATTGTTGTTGTTGTTCGCTATACTAGGGTTGTGGTGCTGTTGCTGGTGGTGGGGGCCGTCCGAACTTGGTGGCCCGCCTCCCCCACCTCCACTGCCGAACGCCGGGTGAGGATGGTGAGAGTGCGGGTGTTGATCGTGGTGGTGTGGCCCGCTCAGCAGACCTGAAACAGTGAGAAAGGACTCAGTGCACTAAAAAAAACTAACACGACGAGCAGGCGTTTAAAGTTAGTGACGATGTTGATTGAATAGAAAGTATCAAACGAATGAAGAAATCTTAGAGAAACAAATAGACAAAGCCAGTAAATATAGTCCTAACTCGAAACGAAACCACAATTCTTACGTTCGTTCATAAAAGAGAACAAGAAAGATACCTACATATAAAAAATGAACCTACAGGGTACTGCATTGAACTCTAACAAAAATAACAACAATCACAGTCAATATTAACCATCAAAAACTGAGTGACAACAAGAATTTAGAATAATTCGGAATATCTATTGCCAGAACGATACCCGCTAATGACAGGGCAATTAGATGTGTTAGTTATTGTTTAATATCATCGTGGATGAAATTATCGAAAACATTCGTGAGAAAAAAGGTAAAAAATGGGACATTAACAGAACTCCAAAGGAATCCGCCTGTAATCGATCAATAAGAGAGAAAAAGGAATAAATAAAATGAAAAAGGAACCAAGTAAATGTCGACATCTAAGGATTCGAGCAGAGGTGAATTAGACTCAGATTACTGATGTATTTAGACTTAAGTATAGAAAGGAGTTCTGCAAAAATTTAATAAGGATAATGAAGTAACAGGTTTTCTAAATTGTTACAACAAGCACATGTACAGAGTGAAACGTTTAAGAGGGGCCTATACTTTATCTCGAAACCTACGGGGGTTACAAAAAAAAATTATATGCAAAAGTTGTTTCTGTTAAAATGACCTTTTTTTTTCCTAATCATGGATAGTGGAAATCCGAAAAAATACGCTTAAAATAAAATTATGTCATCAATTTTGTGTTTGTGTCTCAACAGACAGATTTCTATCCATTTTTTATATGTATATTATTAAGAATATGAATATTTTTTAAAAGTTTTTTTCCATTTAAGGACCTTATTTACAAAATTCTTAAATTATAAATATAAAAGAAGTTATGTATTATAGGAAAATAATTGCCAATTAAACCACAACGGTAAGTCAGAGACCGGTACTATGTTATATAATTGACATTGCTATTAAAGTGGCTATTCGAAAATCCAGTAGTGTACAAAGTATCTCATTTAAGACAATAGAAAAATTTTACCATTGCCTAAAGAAAAAGTTAATAAGCCACCGAACAATGATGCTTTAAACATAACTGGAATACTGAAGATGATCGCTAAGAAGTTCGAAACGGTGCATCCCAGAACTATACTCATATATATAGTTGAATTTGTCTTTGAAAGGACTATCCAAAAATGCAATAAAATGTAGGTTGTTCTATTTAAAAAAATGTAACTTTGTTTTACCACCCGGCATAGAAAAAAGTGACGATTAAGAAAATTTAAAAAAAATAAAGGCCATTTTAATAAAAACAACTACCACCGTAGGTTTCGATATTGGGTATACGCCCCTGCTAAACGGACCACCCTGTACATACAATACATCAATCATGAAACAAGCATTCGAAACCAAACTACGAACTTCCAAGACGAAACAGCATAAATCCCCTTAATTCATTGCCTGCACTCATGTTCCATTATTTCAATATCAATTTTCATTTTCACTTATGAATGGCTTATCTAATTGTACAAAATAATCGACGCTAAAAGTAAAACAATGGATTTGATATGAGTTTCGAAAATTTTTGTAAGCATATCCTGAAGTAAAACTATCTTACAACCAGTTCAAAATTGAACAGAAAGAGACACAATACGTTAAATAGTAGCACCTCGACTACTTAAAAACTCAAATTTAATTCCAAAACAATTGAGCTCCTTGCTTCTCTGACCCAAATTATTATTATTTAAACTATTATAGTTATCATTAGTGTTAGTTAAAGCAACACAAAACACAATTGCAGTTTTCCTTGCCAATAACAAATGCAAATGTTTTGAGACAGTGGTCACTTCAACGTCTGTTTCTTCGAAACAGTTCCCAGGATTCTCCTGTGTAGTGTGTAGTTCAGCACCTGAATCAATTTCTTAGCCTTTCTTTCTACTTGCATCATAAAAATGCAAAATAATTTCAATGGAACGGCGGGCTGAAAATTTCGCTTATCAAAATAAATATTATTAGCTTACTGATTCCTGGGCTTTTTTGTAAAAAATATCTTTCTACATCTACAACAGCTTTTAATTGCTTTCTTCATTTTTTGCTAAAAATATTGCTTCAACTAAATGTAATTAAATTCGTGAAAAATTTAAAAAGGACACCCTGGATTTTAACTACGAATAAAAATTGATATATGAAACTTCTTACACTGAAATAGAATTATAGTAAGTTTGATACAAACATTGATTGATGTTCACGATTTTGATGAACAATCAACATAATTATATTTCATTTTCGATAAACACCCACGTTAGTCCGTGAATCATCAAGTACTTGTTTTAATTTTCATTCCAGTCAGTAGTTTCGCTCATTATCATAAATTAATTTAATTAATCAAAATTAAAAATCCTTAATGTGACGATGCACATTTACGTGGCATCCTGGAGATGGATCTGATTGGTTGCTTATTTACCACCTGCGCTTAAAATAATATTTAATATAAAAAAACAATTACTCCTCAAACCGATTTTGCGGCCGGACCCGCTCACCGGAAAACCTGCTTCCTGTTTTTAAGACTCCCTGCCGGAACTAAAAAGCCCGAAGGGATTGAAGCATGAAAATAATTTATATCACTGTGCGAAATAATGGTGATTTCCTTTTGAACTGTACGCGGCGTTCTTTTGACATTACGAGTGTACACGAAAGGTCAAATTACGGCCATTGTTGTTTGGGAGTCGACGCCATAAGCAAATCTCACCTTTAAGTTGAACTTGGGCATGATAAAATTTGCTCTAAACGCCTGATTGGTATAGTTAGGTGCATTGATATATCGATAAACGATCAACTATAACATGATTTATTTGATTTACTTAATCATGTTTCATTGCCACGTTATACAATTCATTATTATTATCTGAGCATGACAATCAACTACTCTTATTTCGTATTCCCATGGGGTAATTAATTACAATTAATTACATCACGGAAACAAATGTTAATAAATACATTAATTACAAAGTTTAAAAACGCAACCCCAAGGACGTGGGTTATGGTGGAAACAATTAAATATTAATTGAAGGCCGCTTGATATTAGATTTTTTTGTACTTTCTTCGCTATAACCATATGGCTACTAGATCATTTAAATATAGAGGCCACACACTGGTAACCCAGATACTTTGTGTATTAACTCTGGAAAATTTATGTGCATGCGCAAAACATCATTGTAGTTTGAACAAAAATCTCATAGCCATCTGAGGTGTAACAAGTTTACAGAATGAACGACCCCTATATTATCTATAACTGATAAAATATATCTTCTGATACTTAATTCGGTTAATAAAAAGAATTAAAACGTTTTAAATGAACGAATGGGAACGAAGCGAAGCTGTTGGTTAAGGGAACTTCAGAGCGAACCTCGCTCTTAGAGATTATTATTTAAGACATATATGACATTTGTGTACAAGTTATTGGGGTAAGGTTAGTTGCTTGGGTGAAAACATAGAAAACATACAGATGAACATAACCAGTGAGCCTTTGGTTTCACAAACAAAAGTACGAGAAGAAATAAAATGTGAGTTTGCGGATGATGCAGTGTCTACCCTTTCTGCAGCAACTTAGCATTGCAACCAAGACAACGGTTGAGCAAATGAAACATTATGCAGAAATTAACAAATTGATATTGAATAAAAGTAAAACTGAGATGATCGCCTTTTCAACACGGGATTTAAATAAGAGTTTATTAGTACGCTTTAATGAAAGCACAATTCAACAGAAAAGTGTTGTAAAATTCCTCGGAGTTTATGTAAACTCGAGACTCTCCTGGTTCGAACAGGTGGACCACATTCTCAGAAAACTTTCGGTTTACTGCTTTGTCATATGGAGGCTCCACCATCAGGTTTCTTTCCCCTTGTTAAAAATGTACTATTTTTCGTATGTCTATTCGTGTCTCAACTACGCCTTGGTTTGTTGGGGAGGTTCCCCACGTGCGGAGTACGTCTTTAGGATGCAGAAACGCATTTTACGGACTATACTGGTTAAGCCCTGGAATTTTTCATGTCGAAACCTATTTCCACAACACTCTTTATTGACACTTCCTAGTATGTACATGCTAAATTGTGCCACGTATGTAAAAAGTAACTCTAATCTTTATATGCCCTCAAGAAACTCAGATATTCAGTACAGTTTAAGACCGAATCGTATCATAAAAATACCTAGACATCGACTGTCTCTTACAGCAAATAGTCCCTTTGTTTTGACTGTAAAAATTTATAATAAATTGCCTATCGAACTGAAGGAGATAACTAGTCAAAATTTAAATGCACTCTTAAAGACAAATTGCTACGCCTCGCCTATTACAATATTAAGGATTTTCTTTGTTGTGATACCTTTTAATACGTATTCGTTGTTTGTTATTGTTTCTATATTTGTTATTTATCCATCAGTATTACTTATTATTATTACTATTATTAATTTCCTAATTATACTAAGATAATTTTATACTTTTACATTATACTGACAATATCCAACACTTGTAAATCAAGTCTTATGGAAATAATCTATCTATATCTATATCTTTAACATACAGAGTGTTTAACAATTAAGCAGAAAAATATTATGAAAACGGTTCATCAGGGCTCTCTTGGAATGAGCTCTTGCTCTAAATACGTGTGTGTGGAAGATTACTTGATAATTTGAGAAATTTAGGTAGAATATGTTTGTTCCTAGTTAAACCTCTATGATAAGCATTGCGAGCTGACCCTCAGAAACAACGGATGTATATCTACCAGAACCATGTTCCTTTATAGACGTCTGGTACTTAGTGATTGAATATTAATTAGGATCAACTTGCATACGGGTCGGTTGAGTCGGAGCCGGAGTCAAGACAACAATTTTCGCTCCCCTGAATAAAAATTTCATACAAAGGAGAAATATTCAATAATGAGTTTAAATTGTTAAAAGAACGGGCACATTTACAGGCATTCAGAAAATTTTCTTTCGTAATTGGGGTCTAATATGAGCGTCTGAAGATGAAACTATTTTAAAGTTCGTGTGAATTTTATGTAATGTTAGTGGAGGAAGTAATTTTTTTGACTACTTACATAGTATCAATCATGTTTGGCATTTCCTCGGCCCCGAGGTTCAATCACTCCGTTACAGTGAGAACTCCCTATAGCGAAACTCTCTATTACGAACAAAATTTGTTGTACTATTAGGTCTCTATACAAAGCTATGTATTAATCCAGTCTGCATAACGAATTTCTCACTTTCTATACCGAAAGGAAAAAGGGAACAACAGGTAACAAAATAAGGTATGTAGGTTGACTTGTAATTAATAGAGTCTCCTACCTTCTCAGAATTTCTTACCCTAATAATCTAATTACCGAGTACCTGGTCGTACTAAGTGTATTTCCCGTAATAAGCGATTATGTTAATGCCTTTATCGGGATGTATAAAAGTACACCATTGTTTCAATCAGTTCTAATTTGACTTAGTGAATACTATGAACATGGCGAGTAAACGAAAAATTTTATCTCTAGATGATAAAGTTGATTTAATTAGAGAGATAGAACGGGCGGAAAAGAAAAATGATGTGGGACGTCGATACGGACTTACACCGTCGCAAAGTTTGCTGAACATTATCGATTATCGATTTCAAGGCTTCCCAAGGATGGTTGGGGAAGTTCAGAGACATGGTATAAATTATTGACAGAAACGTCACTAGTGATTGGCTGGAGCCAAAAGTAGCAAAAAAGTACCCTGCTGACGATATTTTTAATGCTGACGAATCTGATTTTTTTACAAAATGACGCCAGATAAAACTCTTAAATTTCGAAGCGAAAAGTGTGTGGGTGGAAAACTTTCTAAAGAACGCAGTGTTAGTAGCTGCTAATCTGAGTGGGAGAGAAATAAGTAAACTAGTCGAGATTGGAAAATCAACTAACCCACGATGTTTTAAGAACATCAAGCATTTGCCGATCACTTACAAGGCAAACAAGCCTGCAGGGATGACATCACAAATTTTAAAGAAGAGATACGGTTTGCAGAATTAAAGGGGAGGAAAATATTACTTCTCTTAGATAACTGCCCTGCCCATCCCTATATTCCAAATCTACGGAATATTGAATTGGCATTTCTTCCAGCCAAAACAACAAGTGTATTACAGCCGATGGACCAGAGCATAATAAAAAATCTTAAGAGTCGATACAGGAAAAACACTTTAATGGAAATGATCGAGTCCAAAGACAAATTTTCCATTAATAATGCAGTCAACTTTATTAGCAAAGCTTGGAAGATGTGACAGCGGAAAAAATTCAACACTTCTATCGTCATGTAGGACTTATTACTGAGACAGAATGCGCATAGGACTTGGAAGATGATTAGCCACTAAACTTGTGGATAAAGCAGTTTCAAACAACAATTACGTTTACAAGTGAGGAGTTGCAAGATTTTATGGTGAATTTTTATGGGACACTTGCAAGCTTTTTACGATTTCCCGTGTCAAAGCATGGCGTGGTTTTCAATTGATGGAATACCAGCCCTTTGGTCGGGTAGTGCGAAAATTGTTCCTAATACTACCCATGTTGCCAAATATTAAGCCACGACCGCACTGTGACAATATCAAGGCAACTGCAAATATTTTTTTGTGAAGTAATTCACTCAGTTTCGGGCCAGCGCTAAAATCACGAAATGATGTTTTTTTAGTAGCTTATCCTTTGAACATAAAGTATTGTGTAAGTTAAATATCAAGTTCAAAGGCCTAAAGTTTGGAGTTTTGCAGTATCGGAAATAGTTGCCAAACCCGACAAGGCGACGATCGATCAGCAATCATTCTGGACGAACGGTTGACTGATTCGTACGTAATTCGTTCGTACCTTGATCGCCGGGATCAAAAATTTGCGTGTGTATACCTATCGATCCGATTGCGTGTCCATTCGCTGGATGCATACGACTAATGGGCCCCGGAGGTCCACCTGTGTGTCCGTGATAATTGTTGTTATCGGGCGAAGGGGGATGCGGTGACGTCAGCTCGGCCGGGCCACCATACGGATGATAATGCGGATTCATCGTGGCTAATGCACTGGCGGCCAGCTTGAACGGGTTGGGCGCGCTTGCGTACGCGCCGTACTTCTGGAATAAAATCGTTTGGGGGGATCGGAGCCACTCACTCGGCCTCAACTGGTAACTGATACGTGTGGTCGGCCCCCCTTGCTAGTGGACGCGACTATCTGGAAAAGACAAAATATTCGAAATTATATCAATTCCTTTTTCTATTTTTTCAGATTTATTTATGTAGACCGTAGAAATTTTCATAACAACCGGATTCTAAGTATCCAGGTAGGTAATCCTATTGAATATGTTTGGCACCAACTGAAATCTGCCATTCGTCATAACAATGTTTTTCCCCCTGTTAACTCCAATGTCCTCAAACTTATAGAAACCGAAGTTTTTAACATCCCTCCACATCCAACATCCCTGGACAAATTCTGCTAAACATATAGAAAAAGCAGAACAATCGTATATCCATATTGCAAATATATATTGTTTAGTATCTTTCCTAACAAAACCCCAAATAATTAAATTCTAAGCAAAGTACGGGCCTGTTCGGCCATATTTCATTCTTATAGAGTCTTTCGTTAATTCGTATCAGTTAGTCACTTTCTTATATCTATGAACAGACTTTACGATTTGCCATGGGATAGTCAGTCATATTTTACCTCGTAAACTAAGAATGGCAAAACCCATCCATTTAGCGGCCTGGGTTCTACCTTTGTCTATTACGCCTCGGTGTCGTACACTCGATATAGATAGCTCTAATTACCGTATAATTACAATATTTTCTACTACGAAACAGGGTCGCATTTTTGAAAAACTGCTGCCGAAATTGGAAAGGCCCTCTTTAAGTATTATCATTGAGGGCGAAAGCGTACCAAATGCGTCGAGAAGAAATGATGAATTGGCTGCGCAGTAAGCGGAAAATTATTAAAAATTACAAAACAAAACTTGCCGTATGGTACAGTTGAAGTAATTGATGAAACGGGTCATCAGGTTTGAAGATTGCCTCCTAACCATTAAATATTTAATGCCATAGAATTGGTGTGAGCTCAGTGCAAAATATTTTTTAAGACAGTTCCAGACAGTTCCAAAGAAAATTGGATCAGTTGTATAACACATAGTGAAAACATAATAAAAGAATACTAAGAAAAGGAGAATACACTTGATATAACGGTATCACCACACAGCAAGATTCTGCCTGGCATTTTATTGCGGACTATGCCACGACAAATCGTACCGACTATATTTTAATTATAACAATAAAGGACTCGTCGGTTTATCTGTCGGTTATAGGGCCATCCACGTTTGTGGCGTCTTCAGTTATATCAGTGGCACTTGGACCAGGTCAAAGATGGGGATACTGTACTAATGAACAAACACGAATGCAGAGTTACTGACCTGTGGTTGTCAGTTGTTGCCTCAAACCCAATTGGGTCTCACAACAACAACAAATGTGCAGTTGGTTAAATACGTAAGAGATTCTGCAGTCGTCCTTGCTTATTTGTCATGCTCTCAATGGTTGAATTGGTTATGTGTCACTGCTGAAGATCCATTAATCAAGTGTGCCACGAACACTTTATATGGGTATATTTTAAAATATGCAACTACATTTATATTTATCTATTGACTCTTACGAGTCTCGACACTAACAGATTTGGCAACAATAAGCCAAATAAGCAGGTCAGGTTTTTGAAAATTAATAGTAATTTTGTATTACTAATAAGTTATAACGCCATTCTTCATTATTACTTAAATATATAATAATGTCGATATTTATGTTGTATACAAACAATACATAGTATTTATTACGACTCCGAAAATAATGACATTGAGTAGAAAAAGCTTGAAAATATTTTATTTTAAAATTAACTGTTTCCTAAACCGGTACATTTAACCACACTTATCACGGAAAATAAAAGACTCAAAGTTTAAAGCTTTCCATTAGCCGTAACAGTGGCCGGCCGTATTTTATCCGGTTTACGACTTATTTTAACTAAACAAAATTTTTATGTTTTTTTCTGCCCGGGTTTGCCGAACTACCCGCCGCTCTTAAATTGAGTTGTAAAATCTGTAATAAAAGTGGATAACTGCCCCCTCCGAACTAATCGGATTAATTAAATAATATAATAAAAAAAGGCGGGGATTTAATTAGTTTTTGTACGGGCAATTAAGTTGGTCGACGGGCACTCGTATCTATTTTTACTAATTAACTTCTCCTTGGAATCTATTTAAAACGAGCGGCCTAATTAGACTCCGGACCAGATGAGAAAGATTGCAGCCCAATTACGTGGGATCATTAAGGAAATAATTGGCTAAAACTTCGTCCACAATGTGGGCTCAGACTTAAGAGACACCTGTCTAATATCACCTAAAGCTTCTCACTCGTCTGGGCCTAGCTTGTTAAAAAACCAATTTATTTTTTAACGAGTTTAATATTGCCCATGCGTCGCGTAGTTTTTGCCAAAATCGTGAATACCAATCAATACATATCTCATTTAAAAAAATTATAGATTGAGTTCAGAGTACAGAGTAAGTAAATAGTAAAGACGTAAGCGTAATTATAGTCAGATCTAGGTCGCAAGCAAATACATATATATTTTCGACCTGCTATTGGTTTTTCAACAATTCTGCAACCACGAAAGCCAGTAACATAGTGGTGGTCTAGCTTTATCGGGACAGAAAAACACAATTTTACTACTAAAAGAATTCTTTACTTAAACAAATCCACTACAGACACTAATTGCTAATGCTTTGTTGTTTCCGAGATTGTTTCTCTGCGGTTGTAGTTATTATTTGGGGAATAATCGTTAGTTTATAGAACTATATTGGGAACTGAGAAATATATAATACTTATAATAATTATAATAATAATCACTTTATTGAAACGTAAAGTTACGAAATGCGAATCTAACTTGACCCTAACATACTCCACAAAAGTGATTAGACGATCCTACAAGTCTTATTAAACTTAAAACTACTAAATGATGTTCCATGCTGTGCGATACTATTTGTTATGAATACTTTTAATCCAGATTGGGGGCATCATCATCATCGTTATCAAACTTTGGTTGCCGTCAGGCTATGGTCTAAATTTTTAAAATATTTAACTGTGTTAACCAAACAAGCTCTGTAAGCTTACTTTTTGCAGGTGCATCCAAACATACTTGTATGATACAAATATGTCCTTTTAGATTACTACTAACAATACTCGTATATTTTCCTTAATAGGTGGTAAATTCTAATTATTTAAAACTACTGAACCTAGATGTTCCTAAAACCCCAAAATAAATGGTAGTGATATATCCTCAGATATATCATGAAAAATATTAAATTTGTAGATTCTAGTGTCTTTACGATCACTTATTTTCTGATCTTATATACGAGATGTGTTCAAAAAGTAAGGTGTCTTTTCAATTTTATCAAAAAGCATTTATTTATTTATCGAAATGAATGTTGTCCCATTCAAAGTAATCCCCATCAGATATTATAATACGCAGGTGCCGACTTTTTTTCAAGCACTTCTGGTATAGCCTTGCGTTCTTCCAGCGATTTTTTCTTTATCTCTTCAATCGTTCCAAACCACCTTCTTTTCATGGGTTTCGTGAGTTTTGGGAACAGAAAAAAGTGGCAAGGTGAATCAAGGCAATTGTGGTTTTGTTTTTGGCCAAAAAGTTAGACCCAAGCAATATTCAGTGAGCAGGTGCACTATCGTGATGCAAAATCCATGAATTTTCTTCGTATTACTTTTCGCAAACGGCGCATTCATTGACGGTACGACCTTGTGGTAAGAACTCTTGATGTACTACGCCACGTTAATCAAAGAAAACAGTAAGCAAAAACATTTCCAGAGCGAGGTTCGTCATCGGCGTCTTCTCGGCCGTCTTGGAACAGCTTGTACCGCTTATAAACATTTTTTGTGCTCTAAGTAGCCGTTGTCAATATTCCAAGTGTTTGGCAGCACTGTATTCCATTTTTACATAAAATATTATGTTAATTCTTTGTTTCATTTTTTTGACAGCAGAAAATCGCTGAGCACACAAAACACGTTTAACGCTTCTGTCTCACAAAAAAAAAAGAAAACGTGCAAACTGGCTGAAACTGGGAACATATATTAGGGACATGTGAACCAATAAAACAAAAAAATATATCGAAGATTGAATGTACGTAGCCCGTCCAATTGCAAAAGTCAACTTACTTTTTGAACGCACCTCGTAATGAATTGTGGACCGATTTTACCCTAAAATACCAATTCACATATAGCCCGTGACAGTGTTTAATAAAGCCGACGCTTTAAAGTGACACTGTACCAACGATTATTGAACGCAGGTATTTTAGAATAGGAAGGAGAAAACAGTAGAACAAAGTGGCAGCAACGTACAAAGAGAGGGCAAAAAAAAAAGTGAAGTAATTGGAAGTCGTGTAATCAACATATCCGAAAGAGCAATAAGCAAAGCATGTTCCTAATTAAATTTTGATTTGGTTTTTGCCTAATGACTGGAATAGAAAGGGGTGCCGACCTGCAACTGTAAATTTATGTAATCAATTGGTTCGAAAATATAATAAGTAATGCGTTCTTATATTGGGGGTTTTCATTTTTAAAAATTAAGTCCTAATTTATCACGGGAAATGAACAGTATTATTAGTGCGTTCGTTGTTTTATGCGGGAAGATATTTATACTCCTAGACCGAGGTCTATAGAAAACAGTTTTTAATTACTTCATAGGTACAAAGAGCAAATGACACACTGCATGACGACATATTACTATTTTTAAAGAATGTTATAACAAAAAAGTGAGCTTTTAAAAGTTGCAAAACCATTGAGCATAAAAAGTGTGTTTGTAAGTCGTTAGTAATGGTACCAACTAAAATTAAGCATTAGGTCCCAAAATTCTTCTCTCACTGGAAGCGCTAATGTTGCAGATTTAATAAATAAAAGTGGTAATAAGATGTCACCGGATATGTGGAAAAATTCGGTAAAGGAGGTTTTTTCATAGCTATTTATTAAGCTATTATTGGTAAACCTATTTAACAGTCAATAGATTTCTAGAAAACTAAATAAATAATTGGAAAAATAATTTAAAGCTAAAAAAGGAGAAGAAGTGATGCATTTTACAGACTTGTAAGATACAAATGTTAAAAAACAAAAACAAAAAAAATTGAAAAAATACTCAAG